GAATCCTGAGGAGTGTTCACATGAATATTACAACTACTCTGAAAATTGATATTTTTACCCAGCCCTAATTAAAAGATTATTACATGTAAAAAATTAATAAATGAGAAAAAATACATAAATCTGTCACAATAAGACAAGGAACATGAATCAGTTTTCATGTTGAACGTAAAACCACAATTAACTCCCCACGTACAGGTGTTGGTTACTGTTGCCATGATCATAATACATAAACTAAAACAATTACTGAGCAGCAGTTGTATATATTTTTTTAAATATTTTTACATGTTATATGAAGTAACATTTTCTTACTCTGTATTTCTCACACACTCATCTGCTGTTCTAATCATGACACCTACAGTACATTCAACATGTGTTCTGTGACAGGATTCCTGTGCATCAGATGACACAGGGTGACAGAACCGAATACATAAATCTGTCACAATAAGACAAGGAACATGAATCAGTTTTCATGTTGAACGTAAAACCACAATTAAATCCCCACGTACAGGTGTTGGTTACTGTTGCCATGATCATAATACATAAACTAAAACAATTACTGAGCAGCAGTTGTATATATTTTTTTTTATATTTTTACATGTTATATGAAGTAACATTTTCTTACTCTGTATTTCTCACACACTCATCTGCTGTTCTAATCATGACACCTACAGTACATTCAACATGTGTTCTGTGACAGGATTCCTGTGCATCAGATGACACAGGGTGACAGAACCGAAGTCCTGTTCATAGTGTGGCATCTGATCGGCTCTGGTTACACACACACACACACACACACACACACACTGACTGCAGTAGCACTGTCTTTGTACTACTGTATCTCTCTCTATGCAGTTTCAATAAAAAGTAATGTCAGACAAGCACTTGAGCACAAACGCATATAGAATACAAGAACCCTCCTCAGAAACACCCAAGTTTTTCTGGAACTTTGAAAAGCTGTAATTCTTTATGAAATGAATGACATCATTTTAATTTTACATTTCAGCTGTCAAAAAGTTTAGAAAGAACTGGTCACAGTTTTTTCAATTTGGTCCAAATAACAATCAAAATGATTTAATATTTAAAAGAAAAAGAATTTGACGCACAAATAAACACATCTGTTAAAACTTATTTTAAAAGAATTAATGAACTAGAACCTCAAAGAATTTTGAGACCTATAATAAACATTTTTTTAAACAATCATAAACAGCTTCACAAAAATAATAAAACTACCTTAAAATACATATTTATTTATCAACCTTTGAGGGTCACTATATCTGTGTGAAGTTGTAAATGATCATTTAAATTGCATTTTAATTTTCTCTTCCCTTATATCCTTTTGTTCCCTTATCTGTTCCCCTAAATTTAATTTAAAATTGACCGATTCGGTCTAATGTTGATGACGTTCACTCTCATGTCTTTGATTTTGACAAAATTACTATTTGTAAACATCATCAACCTACAAATAAAAATATTTTCTCAATTTTTTAATCTTAAAAGATTCAACATGAGTCCTCTATGAAACACAAACACACTTTAGTGCAGAAAACTTGGCCTTTTGTACAGTATTTGTGTTGCATGTGAACATTCAGACAAATAACAATATGAACAATAAATAAATTACTTATAAATCAACACAAGGACCGGTCTTGAAAATTTCTTTGTAATGCTGAGCACAATTGTTGTATAAATGTTTCCCAATCATTACAATCATTACAAAAAGTGATGACCTGCAATTATCAGCTATTTCTACTTGATTTTCATTTTGTTGGTATAAATTAATGTATTGAGGTTGATTCAGTGATGATAAATATTATTTTTGTCTTGAATAAAACCAGTTAATACTGAGGTTACCAATTTTAGGTTACCATTTTTTCCCGTGTATTGATCTAGTTTGCTATCTGAATCTGATACCTGATGTGTTTTCCTTTAAGGACAATTGGAATATTTAAATCATGATTTCATAGCAGTTATCTTCTTTAAGTACTTACATCGTAAACAGAGTACCTTTTTCAGAATATTTGAGGACATAGAATTATCAAATACATAAACTTGACGATCGAAATAAAAAAAACAAAAAACAAAAACAACTTTCATATAGTTTACTAATGATAATAATTAATTTATTAATATTATCATCATCAACCTACAAATAAAAATATTTTCTCTATTTTTTAATCTTAAAAGATTCAACATGAGTCCTCTATGAAACACAAACACCCTTTAGTGCAGAAAACTTGGCCTTTTGTACAGTATTTGTGTTGCATGTGAACATTCAGACAAATAACAATATGAACAATAAATAAATTACTTATAAATCAACACAAGGACCGGTCTTGAAAATTTCTTTGTAATGCTGAGCACAATTGTTGTATAAATGTTTCCCAATCATTACAATCATTACAAAAAGTGATGACCTGCAATTATCAGCTATTTCTACTTGATTTTCATTTTGTTGGTATAAATTAATGTATTGAGGTTGATTCAGTGATGATAAATATTATTTTTGTCTTGAATAAAACCAGTTAATACTGAGGTTACCAATTTTAGGTTACCATTTTTTCCCGTGTATTGATCTAGTTTGCTATCTGAATCTGATACCTGATGTGTTTTCCTTTAAGGACAATTGGAATATTTAAATCATGATTTCATAGCAGTTATCTTCTTTAAGTACTTACATCGTAAACAGAGTACCTTTTTCAGAATATTTGAGGACATAGAATTATCAAATACATAAACTTGACGATCGAAATAAAAAAAACAAAAAACAAAAACAACTTTCATATAGTTTACTAATGATAATAATTAATTTATTAATATTATCATTTGAAAAGCTGAGTGGCTCCTAAGTGATTAAACGAATATTGACCACTTTTTTTAGTTTTGATTTAAACTTGAGTTTTGATTTGTTTGATGTTTAAGATTTTATTCTCAAAACACTGACCATTTTTAGGAAATCGCAATCCTTTGCCACAACCCACAATGATAGATGTTATGCACCGTTTGTGTATAGGTATAATAAGCTTATAATGTGCCTAATATATAGCAAAAGTAACAAACTAATTCAAAATTCATTTAAAAACAGCAACTAAAGTGGACCACACTATGTACAACAATGCATATACAAATTACTCAACTGCACAAGTGTACAGTGTGCGCTTTGCTACATAGTGGATTTTGATCATGTTATTTGCTCCACATCCCTCAAATGGTGGTATCTATTAAAACAATCTAATGCTTACACGATGTGTTCTTCATAAGCAAAAAGCAATCCTTATGAACATGTGAATCATATTTCCCTCTCACACTGATGGAATGCTTTAATCTAGAACTTGTCAAATTTCATGTGACTGTTCTCAGAATGTTTTTTAATTTACATATAATTACTTACAAAAACCTTTTGATCAGCCTGTCTATTTGGGTTTTGCACTTAAGACAAACATTAAAAACTGAACTACCACAATATTCATTGATCAAAGTGGTCCATTAATATGTTTTTTTAAAGATTGTTAAATTTGCAACTTTGTCCCCACCAATCATGAATATGCACAAACAAATAGTAACATCTATATCAGCTGGTTTTATTTAGTCAAAAAATATTTACCATCACTGAACCAACCCATATACATTCATTTGTAACAACAAAACTCTTTTTTTATGGGTTTCTATTTTCTATCAGCAGGTAGAAATGGCTCTTTAAGGCAACAACTGCAAGTTATATCCTTGCTAAAAAGCTTTTCTGTAAAAAAAATATTTGTCTGTGTAGAAACACATATGCTAAAAACTAGAGGATGGCTGCATAGGAGGAAAGTAAATCTGGTCTCGTGGTTGTGCTCTAAGTAACTAACTATGTAGTGACCTCTAATTGCTATTCAAGCTGCACGTGTTTGAACATATATAATCTGATTTACATTAGCTGTAAACTAAAAAACGTTTTTTTTATTCACTGTGATACTCATTTTAAAAGAGTAGCCTGTTGTACTAAAGTATTGCATTCAGAGGCCTACACAAAGCAGTTCAAGTCTATATATCAGATTTTTCCATAAACTCGTTCTCATATAATAACAGTAGACAGTCACGTGGTTGTGCTCTATGTAGCTAACTATGTAGTGACCTCTAATTGCTATTCAAGCTGCACGTGTTTGAACATATAAAATCTGATTTACATCAACTTTTTTTTTTAATTCACTGTGATACTCATTTTAAAAGAGTAGCCTGTTGTACTAAAGTATTGCATTCAGAGGCCTACACAAAGCAGTTCAAGTCTATATATCAGATTTTTCCATAAACTCGTTCTCATATAATAACAGTAGACAGTCATAAATCAACTAAAATACTCCACATATTACAAATCATAATACGAATGATTAGAATAATAATTAAAAACAACTTAAAAAATCTATTGCGACGTATCGTTTAAAGCTAACTTAGCAGATATTCTACTAAACCGACGAATCCCAACAAGACGAAAGTTACAAACATAAACACGTAAATACAAATTGAACATAGAAACGTAGTGACTTTATGCTAAGTGTATGCTACAGGAACATAGGCCTACAAATCCACACAACGTGGTGTTATGTTCAGACCTGATTCCCTGTCTGTCTGTGTGTGTGTGTGTGTGTGTGTGTGTGTGTGTGTGTTCTGACACAATGGACAAAAGCACTCGACCTAAACAGGAAGTTTGACTTTGTGGCATTTTAGCAACATTTAATTGTCAAGCCCTGTGTTATTAAAAGAACACACTTAGCCTGTAGATGTTATGTCTACGGTATTATAATGCTAATTCGTAAAGGCCGATTATTATTTTTTTACCTAAATTGAAGAAAAAAAAAAGTTTTTCTTGTTTGATCGACTGAGCAAAACAACATTTCCCGTTACATAATAACAACTTTGGATATAAACAAGTGCGAGGCCCCCACGATCATTCAACCAACTCGAAAAGCACAGCGGGACCGACAGCAAGCAATTACCCAGTCAAATGTGACAGCAGAAAGATGTACCTTAAGTTTCTGGGAAGCCTTGAACACCTTCCTGTGCAATTCCCTGAGAAATCAGGGGAAGAGACAACTTAACAGTCGTGAAAAAAGGCCAGGAACATACATATAAATATATATTTCCCAACGTCGAAATATCAGCGTAGTTTGCAATATTCCATACACATCTAGTTGAAATTATACAAATATATGAATGTTTTCGGTTCACAAAAAATTACAAACAAAGGTTACAAAAGCCACCATCCCCAATACTCGATTGTATAATTTTGGAAAACGGGCGCAAAATAAACAAGGGTGCCAACCTAAACAAAACTGTTCCCTCCCACTTAAACGGACTCATCTGGGCGTCTTTACGTTAAAGTGGACTTTAAACGGTGTTTGCTTATTTAAGTGACTTACTATTGACAGCCTGTTGATATGCGACATTAAATTGAATGTATTCTTATATTTAGGCTGCCTTAACTGAGAGGATCCATGCAATCACACACCCCTTACCCCGAACTATATTATCATCTCTTTTCTTCAACCCCACTGACCCGAATCACAAGCCACCTCGTAGAAACATGCTCAGATGTTGCACCAACTTGGTAAATGTATAAACATACCGTTTCGTCTTGTGAAGTCTTTCAAATAAATTCACCAAGATATTACAGAAAATTAATTCTGCGGGAAATCCGTGAAATGCACCACCCGGCGGAAATACCCCAACTGCATCGTATGATGAAAAAGAAACCCATTCCTCGTGGATGTGGATAACTGAAAAGCGTGGAAAGAACTTGTTCGCTTATATATTCACGTGGTTAATAAGATTTTCGCGTCGTTTCGCTGTAGAGGAGTGGCAGTCTTCCCGATGGTTCATGGACTCTGTCCAATCAGAACTATTGTCCTTCTACACCGAGGCTTACTTCATAGCGCCTCCCCTATTTTACGATATTATAGATGAAACTGAAACGCTTAGCTAGCTAGAACAATGGAATCAGTCAGAAGTGTTTTTGATTTAACCTTGTTAAATAAAACACTTAAAGCTTTTTTTAAAGTATGTAGATTTAAGAAAAAGCCACCTTGTGACACAATGCAAAAATATTTTCATCTGCTGTCAAACAACAATAGCCTATTCAACTGTGCCATAAAAAAGTTTCTTGAGTAGCCTATCATATCAGCACTTAATGACAATGGCTTCCCTTTTTTTTTTTTTTTAATGCATACAAATTTGAATTTTGTGACTGTGTTATGTTAAAATACAGTGTAAAATGACAGCATTCATTTTTTCTCTTAGCTAGCTAGAACAATGGAATCAGTCAGAAGTGTTTTTGATTTAACCTTGTTAAATAAAACACTTAAAGCTTTTTTTAAAGTATGTATATTTAAGAAAAAGCCACCTTGTGACACAATACAAAAATATTTTCATCTGCTGTCAAACAACAATAGCCTATTCAACTATGCCATAAAAAAGTTTCTTGAGTAGCCTATCATATCAGCACTTAATGACAATGGCTTCCCTTTTTTTTTTTTTTAATGCATACAAATTTGAATTTTGTGACTGTGTTATGTTAAAATACAGTGTAAAATGACAGCATTCATTTTTTCCCAAACATGAAATGTTTTAGTGATTCCAGATATTTGTATGGATGTGTACATTTAAGTTTGCTGACCACTCAATGTAGGCTAATTTATGGCAGTTATTTATAATGTGGTTTTCTTTCTTTCTTTCTTTCTTTCTAATTGATTATTTAAAATAAATTGCATACCCATTTTGCATTCTCCATTATTAACATCTTGACTTGAATTAATGTGATTTGAGCAGATTTCTCTTACGTTTTGCAACAGAAACTAAACAAGCTGTACATGACTGTACAAACTGTACAAGTCCCAATGGAACGGTGGAATACCTGAAGCATTGGTCTGTGGAAGCTGCCAAATGTGCTGAAGTTCGGCTATGCTTTTGTTCATTTCCCTGACCACAAATGGGTTTAGCAGTCATTGAAACACCATAAAAAGTATTCATATGAATATACAGTATATTAGTGGCTACTCTCATACACTCAGTGACTTTTAAAGCAAAACGTTCTTATACTTTATTACAATTATATTAAAGGTGTTTACTGTTGAGTCACTGTGAACAGGAACATGACATGAATATAATATTCTGGAGTTGTGGTTTAGGAGCACAGTGATTAGCTGTGTGCGTATTAATCTCTTGTATAATAGATTAAAGAACTGGCACTTAGATTCCCATCATGTAACAAATTATATAGTAGCACTTTTGTATAATTTTCTGCTTTCTTTTGCTGTAGTTTTATGACAGAAAATGACCTAATCAATTGCAAAAAATAAAAATAAAAAAGTCTGAATATAGTCTTGTATTGTAAGATGGACTGTTAAATCTTGAACAACTCTGGCAATATACAGTGCAGGTAGGACTATTTAAATGGACTAATTTAGACTGAAGCTTCTCCTGAGAGTATAAAATATTCATGAAAAAATATTCATAAAATAATCACATCAGACTGTATTAAAATCTCAGGTACATGCATAGTAATGTCTGACAAAGTTCTTGTAATTTATGTGTGTAGCTACAAATTAAATAAATGTGCAAGATTATCCAGCAAAAAGTTTTGTAATCATCCCATAACAATAGGAAGTAAAATTTCATTACATCAGTTGGTGTACTCTCGATATTGCCCCCTAGTGTTTTTTCCCGTGTGTATAGTCTATATTTAAGAAATATTTGTACATTCAGAATAATTCATATTTCTCTCTTTTGCTTTACTGAATGTTTGTGCAAACTTTTGTATACATTTTATGTTTAAAAATTGTCTACCTAAAATGTATTTGGTATGTTTACACATTATTATCAAATTAAAAATAAGAGATCAGCCAGTTGGACAAGGAACTAAAAATAAAAATGAATGCTCATCGAGACATATTATTACAGTAGTAATATACTGAAAAAAAATCTGGTGTAGGGTTCACTTTGAAACTACTTTCAAATTTCACGAAAAAATTACAAAAAAGACAAATAACACATTGAGTTAAATGTGAAATGTGAAAGTAAAATGACTGAAATAGTATTTTCTTGTGTGTGTATATAAACAGTATATAAAAATTTAAAAAAAAATCCCCAGTTTTTAATATACCATTTTGCTTAAACTAAATTTTGTTTATTACAAAAAAGACAAATAACACATTGAGTTAAATGTGAAATGTGAAAGTAAAATGACTGAAATAGTATTTTCTTGTGTGTGTATATAAACAGTATATAAATATAAAAATTAAAAAAAAAATCCCCAGTTTTTAATATACCATTTTGCTTAAACTAAATTTTGTTTCTATCAATATAATCTTGATATATATATTTACAAAAGAAACTAAAGTCAAGTTTTATTTCATTAAAAAATTCCAGTATACACACATACTGTATATATGTATGTGTATATATATATATATATATATATATATACACACACACACACACAAACACATTTTTTTGCTGCTGAAAAGGCTCGTTTCACATAACCTGTAAGATTGATCTCCAGAAGCTCCTAATGCATCTGCATGGATGACCTTCAACCCTTCCAGAGACTGATGGACAATGTACAGTATATGCTTGTGAATTGCAAATGCTGGTAAAGAGCAGTCAGTCATTTTTCTCAGTAGAGAAGACTGCCTAATATCACTGAATCATAGAAAATGAATATCCGGCAGTTAAAACTGGCACCGGAGAGTTTTTTAAAAACCCTGTTATGAAGAAAGTTGCAACTGGTTTGAACAATTCCTGTGTCCCAATGTGCATATAATCCTACATGTCCCAAAGCATAGTATGTTGAAAATAATACACCAAAAGTCGCCAGATGGTCTAGTATTTCTGAGAGATTTTCTAACAGCTGATGCTGCCCACAACTCATTGGAAAAAAATAATAAAATCAGTGCACTTAAGTTCAGAACTACAAACATGAATAAAAAGAACTACAAGAATGGTGGATGTTTGTGAGTCCAATGGTTGGTTAGAGAATCCCTGAAAAGTGGTTGAATATAAGCTGATTGTTAGCTGTGTAAACTTTCATAAAGATATGAATAGCACAATACCAAAACAGATATTTGGCCATTGTTATATCATTAAAAAAACATAGGACCCACGACTGGCAACATACGTTTTCTCTCCAATAAAATAGGAAGAATTGTTAGGATACATTTCATGAAATAAAATGTTAAAATGTTAATGTTAAAATAAAATGTTGTCAGTTAAGTGACAAAATGAACATATCTCTGCAACAGCTTTATGACATGGTAGTGTGTCCAAATGCTTATTTCTTCTGCTACACACTCGAAAGTACAAACTTTTTCATCTCAAAAAGAGTGCATGCTTGTAGGAATATGGTTAATAGTAGGCTATGAGCAGGTGATCCGGGATATGCCACTTGTATCCAAAGTTAATACAAGGGTGAACAGGTGGTTCCTTAAACCTCAACCATTGAACTTTGTTATCCACAAGCCTGATCTCTGACAAACATATTGCCTCCTGTCCTGGTGGTTGACAAGAGTATAGGAGGATGTGGGGTTATGCCGCATAACCCGTTTAATGCCGAGGAGGACTCTAACCTACAAGCCTCTGAAGGACAGAGCTAGGAAGGACGCAGCCAGCCTCGGTGGGATGCAGCCTTCCGTTTGAGAAGCACCCATTTTTTTCAGGTGTGAACTGTTCAGGAAGTTGAAGGATTGGCACCACCTGGTGGCCTTATAGTATCCATTCACTATCAGAACCTTTCAGATGTCGCATAACTTATCCTTCCTAGCTCAGTCCTTCAGAGGCTTGTAGGTTATCAACATTAAATAAATACACTGGGTGTGTGGGATTAATCACCATAAAGTGTTACATGTGTACACTTGCGAGTAATAACTTCTCAACACCTTGAGTGATTAAAATGAAACACTAACAGTGTTTGTATAATAAACACTTTTGTCAGTGTTGTTTTAACACTAGCAAAGATGGACCTGCTTGTTCACCCGAAAAGTAATAATTTTAACACCCATGGTGACAAATCTCCCAACATATTTTTGCTGTGTAGAGTCCTCCTCGGCATTAAACGCTAGAATGAGACAGTCTAGTACAGGGCTGTCCAAACTCGGTCCTGGAGGGCCGGTGTCCTGCAGAGTTTAGCTCCAACACACCTGACTGGAAGTTTCTAGTATGCCTAGTAAGAGCTTGATTAGCTGGTTCAGGTGTGTTTAATTAGGGTTGGAGCTAAACTCTGCAGGACACCGGCCCTCCAGGACCGAGTTTGGACAGCCCTGGTCTATAATGCGCTTGGCTATGCCACATATGTTCCCGCCCTCACCGCCACGGCAAGAAAATACTAATAAAACGTAGTTATGGAAAAATACTTTGTATCACAAATCGTTATATTATTTGGCTTTCTATTAATGCAATACAAAGAATCACAGCCGTCTAGTCTCCCAGTGGCTTATTGGCAGTTTAGCGTTTAGTGAGCAATTTACACCAAAACAAAAGATAACAACTATGCTTTCATGTCCGAAAACATTATTTTTTGTCTTACATTTCATAATAAATTCAGACATGCTCAGTACTGAAACGTTTTTCGTCAGTTTATTTTCATGAAATGGAATGGGTACAAAGGATTGTGGGTGATTGAAGGTCACGGAGGATACATCCCATGCATCCTTCAAATTCAGCTGAATGAAGGACGTGAAACGAAGGAGGCCTTCCAAGGATCCCTGACCCTGCGATTGAGACGGCCTTCAGCGATGTTTGATGACGTGGCAGGCGGCAGCTGAGATATGCAGCCTTCCGTTTGAGAAACACCCAATGTATCATCTATAGTGTTAGACTGGATGGTTTCACGACGTATGACTTCGTTTAATACTTACATTTTAAAAGAATGTAAGCTGCACCAAAGTGCTTGTGGAGAAAATAATTTATTGAAGATGAACTTATTACCTCAATGTGGTAGCCTTGATAAAACATTCTGTCACATGGAAGTCAGGTAATCTGACTGGAGCACTTTTTCAGTTTTGTGTGCAATATTATGCAAGACAAAAACAAACATGGGTAAATGTCTTTCACATTTAAGCAAAGGCCATTTACATTTACAATTCTCCCCTCTTATGTTGATCTTTGGCCAAGCACAGGTGCATCTCAATAAATTAGAATGTCGTGGAAAAGTTCATTTATTTCAGTAATTCAAATCAAATTGGGAAAATTTGTGTATTAAATAAATTCAATGCGCACAGACTGAAGTAGTTCAAGTCTTTGGTTCTTTTAATTCATACAGTCTGACTGCTTTACTATGAACCCTTACTCTACATTCATTCCTCCAAATCGGTATGTAATCTGTGTGCTTTAGTAGGTTACAAAACGTATTATGCTTATTAAGACTTATTATAATATTATGCCACGGAGCGATTTATGAAAACAACTGGTAGAAATGTGTGGATGAAATGAAACAATTTTAAAAGCAAAAGATTCACGAGATTCAGATATTGTACAAATGACTTTAACTTTGATCCCTTGCTTTAAGCTGCTTTTCTGGTGTTCATTCTCCAAAACTTCCTGGCTACTTCACACAGTGTCATTTCACAAATCCCATTACATTTGCTGAAGCATGACATCGACTAAACCACATTAACCTTTCAGTTCTGACCACTGAATCCAAGAATGTCCTTAAAGGTCAGGACTGACAGACCTGTAACCAAAAGCTTTACTGTCTGTTATGACTACTTCACCAAAGTAAGTAAACAACCTGCACATTACAATTTATCAGATATCACTCACCCAAAATACAACACTAAACTTTAGTAGCATTGCTATAGCTTTAGCTCAAAAGAATAAAGCTATTATATGAAAAAAAAGAAGTGCAATTCAAATGTTTTCTTTAGTTTTGAGGTATGTTTTTCCTGTTGCCTTTGGATTGGGGTTTTGTAAGACAAAACATTGCTTTGGAAAGTATTGTCAGAAGTAATATACAGGTCAAATTAATTGAGTTAAATTAAAGCTGCACCATTTATTTATTTATTTTTGTTTAAACGTTCATACCTTGTTTTACAGTGCCATTTATCCACACGTACACTCCTGTTTTTCATTATTATTTTCTAATTTCTTCTGTTTCTTATTTCTGATTTAGAAAATAGGATATAGCTCCAATCATACTAAATAACACACAATTTAAAAATAAAAAAAATAAATAAAATAAAAGCAGGCTGTGTATTTATATGTGGCTCTTTTAATCAAACAGTTAAAAGTTTAATCATTTTCCTAGTAGTATTCTCTCTTGTGCTCAGTGCTGTACAGAATAAGTTAAACACTGCCATCTATTGCTTGACATGGTTATACGTTTCAAAGAGGCTTATTTTTCTTGCATTGTGCACACATAACAAAGATGCAGAGTTACATGCCATGATCAATGTTTAATTGCTTTTACTGTTGAAGTTGGACATTTATCCATTATTTAAGTGTAGCTACTACATGTTTAAAATTTTTGTGACATATGAATAGACAGCACAACAGATTTAAAAGAGGTAAAGGTACAGATGTGTGATCAGGGTCACTGTACATTGTATTCTGTTGTCTAACATCTGTTAAAAGAATGGGGTGAGCTTTAGATACAAAACCTAACCACACACTCCTACTGCGTTAAGTGACTGTTAAAATCCAGCCTGGTGGTTTATAGAATGAGTTTAGTCTTTTAAAAAATGTTGAATTTCAGACTCCACCTCAATCTGTAAAACTGGTGAAATGCATTTTTCCCAAGATGAAGTGCAAAAAAGAGCAACCAAAAATTATTATTATTACTATTATTATTATCAAAAGACCATCTTAAAGAATTTACTCACCTAATGTAGACCTACTGTTTTACCACAATGAGTGTTCAACACAGAACCTTAAGAGTGGCAGGAGTGCTTATAGCGTTAGGGTGGACCAGTGCTTTTCTGGCAGTTAGAACATTCATTCATATAAACATTTTTTTTATTTAAATGCCACTTGATTAGACACAAAATCACAAAAAAATAAGTTTAGCATAATAAACGAGAACATTCACATGAATAAAAATCTTATTAGCATAACATAATTGTATAATTTATATTTAAATGGCTGTTCTTTAATGCCAGTTATGGATATCAACACTGTTGTTATCCCTTTAATTCATTCATTCATTACATTTATATAGCGTTTTTCTAGGCACTCAAAGCGCTTTACATTGTCAGGGGGTATCTCCTCATCCACCACCAGTGTGCAGCATCCACCTGGATGATGCGACGGCAGCCATAGTGCGCCAGAACGCCCACCACACACCAGCTTACTGGTGGAGAGGAGACAAGAGTGATGAAGCCAATCAGCAGATATGGGGATGGTTAGGAGGCCATAATGAGAGTTCAAACAATATTTCATCTTATCTTTTTGTACCACAGAAAAATCATGCTGTTAAAAAAAGTTTTGTCCATTTTCATTGTGCAGAAAAAGTTTCTAAGCATCATAAAATAACACAAATATTTCCAACTGGATGACTATGGCATGAAAGTTCCACTTGTTTCCTTTTCAACATACCACTATAAAAGTCATGGTACTTTTTTTTAGGATTTTCAGACAGCAAAGTCACACAATAACAATGACAAAATGTGTATTTCTACTTGATTTAAAATAATAATAATTAAAAAAAACAATCTGAGGCTTTGACAGAATATTACATTTCGTGCTTTCTGTTTCCCAAACTTTCCTTAGTTTTGATTCGGAATTAAATGGCGTGTCAGTGGCCTCAATAATCCACTAAATCCAGGTGTACTTTAAATACACTGCCATACAACTAGCCCTTTTAAGTTTCGACCAAAAAAAATAAACATTTCACCCAAAAATAATTTTGTCATCATTTACTCACTCTCATGTCATTCCAAAAACCATGACTTTCTTTCTCTTGTGAACACAAAAATACTGTGACGATAAGGGATATTTTTTAAGAATGTTCAGGCTGCTCTTTTCCACACAACAAAATTGATGTCTATAAAAAAAAGCATCAAAAGAGAGTTGTAATATGTCATATTCCAAGTCTTCCGAAGTCATATGAGAGCTTTTGCATACAAACCGAAATAAAATTTTGGCCTCTGCCACAGATCTCATATCCTGTTTTATGAGATTCAAGAACATGTTAAGCTGAAATATGTGCAACCACAGAAAACAGAGGGACTGATTATGACTTTATCTCACTTATAGTAACCACACACGTCATACGGACTACTTTTATGGTATCTTATGGCGCTTTTCCACTGCGTGGTATGACTCGGCTCGGTTTGCATTTCCACTGCAGTTCAGTACCGCTTTAGAGTGGGTGGGATTATTCACATGTCGTTAGTTGCGCCGCCTCTACTACCACGACTCCTAAAAATCTTTTTCATTCCGCGTCGCCCCATCAAGCTCTCGCTGGATCCGCTCCTCTGCTATCAGCGAGAGGACCGTCTGTACTTCCTCAACAGACAACGAAACAGACACTTTTTGGTTGTTAAAAAAGGTGCACTCGTTCAAAACAGTTGCGTTCGATCCTTCGCTGGCTGTGCTGATTTAAATCTAGTGGTTCTGTTGTGTTTGTGTCGCAAGTTCAGTGACGCAGGTAGTGACGATTCTCTCCAGCCAATCCGTGATCAGCAGAGTTTAAACGTCACGGTTTGGTAACGGTACGGTTCACTTGGAACCCCAACCGAGGTGGTACTAAAAAAAAGTACCAGGTACTGTACCCAGTGGAAAACCCCCCAAAACAAAAGTGAACCATACCGAGCACTACCATGCAGTGGAAAAGTGCCATTATAGTCCTTTATTTTGGAGCGTGCCAGCCACTAGTCACTCTCTACCTTTATCATATGGAAAAGATCAGCCAGGGCATTCTGTTAAACATCCTCATTTGTGTTCCATGGAAGACTGAAAAACCACACAGCTTAGGAACAACATGAGAACAATGAGTACATTTTTGGATGAACTATTTCATTAAGACTTCTAATCAGTTTACTTATAGCAAAACAACACATGGTTTAATAATTTATCAACATATTTTAGAATTCTTAATTATAAGACGATGTAGGTTCAAGGACGATGCCAAATGGTACAAGCCCTGAGACACAATGTATAATTGTCCACCATGTTGGCTCTATCCTGTGGACCAGAGAGGGTTGCAATTGCAAGTCAACTCCTTGTAGCACTGCAAGACAGCAGCAGGAGCGCCACACTGTCTAGTCAGAAAGGATGTGACATCATCAGCTCCTGTGAGTTGTGTATCAGCGCTCTTAACTTCTTCCAGCAGGTGTAGTTATGACACCAGTGTTGTGTTCTTAAGTACTTTCAACTTAGTGATCTTATAGAAGTAAAAAAAACTCATTCTCCTTGTCCTCCCAGTCATCTTTGATATATTTTAATCTTAGTGCTGAAGCAAGAAGTTTGTTGCAATGTTAATGTCATTATTAGATGCTCTGAGAGCTTCTTGGGCATCCATCCTTGAGAAACCCATCTCCATTAATCTTGCAACCTAGTGATAACAGCAATGTATCATTAAAAAGTTAGTATATGGCAAAAAATGATGTTCAATCTAGCAACCCATGATGCTAAACAAATAGAAGGTGGAACTGAATAAATAGTTCACACAAAAATGAAAATGTACACTCACACAGGCCATCCAAGTTGTAAATGAGTTTGTTTCTTCATCACAACATATTTAAAGACATTTAGCATTATATCACTGCCTTACAAATCAATCCTCTGCAGTGAATGGGTGCCGTGGATTACCGTGTTGTTTGGTGAGCAAGTGATGTGATGCTCTTCAGGAAAGTTCTCCTCTTCTGTTCTGATGAAGATACAAGCTCATCTGTATCTTGGATGGCCTGCACGAGTGTACATTTTCAGCTAATTTAAATTTTTGGATTAATAAACTGAGATAAAGACCAAAATCTGTAATGATTCTGAATAAAAGACCAAAATCATATGATTTTACCTGCTCCTCAGCCACAGCTGTGTTATCTGGCGGGTGCATATAAGGGGGCTGTTGCGGCTGGGGACCCTCATGGTGCCGGTTCTGTCCTCTGTGCCTTAGAGTCGGGAAGAATCTGTTCCAATTCAGGAGACCTGTCTGCTGAATTAATGACAGGAATTCTTTTTAAAGTCACAATGGAATAAAAACTGACAATTCCTATTTTTATGGAACATTGGAGTGTTTATTATCAATGATCACACATTTTATTATAAATGTGCACATAATTATTTTTTAATTCATGCATCCTCGTAATAAAAATCATCCCCTCTCCTTTCAAAAGCATCTCTTCTTAAATGACGTCACTTCTGAATCTGTGTGGGGTCAGGACAATCATTTCTTTCAGCAACCTGTCACTCACATCAGATTGCAGCAATTAGCAAATGATGGACAAAGTCCCACCCTACATTTTTTTTTCTCATTTGAGAAGCCAGTTCATATAATCAGATATACAATAAAGAAGAAAAGCATAATGTAATTTTTACTTTATATAACTTTAAAGACAGTGTATCTTGCTGTGTATTTCTATATCTTATCTTACTGTAGTCCAGTAGAGGTAGCTTTTTTGTAACTGTGGTGATTTCTGTCTCTCTCCACATTCAAAAACTCCAATAAAAGACAAACTTAACAACCGGCAAGCATTATCCCTACATCATTTTCATAATCCTACTACAGGTTTATCAACTACAATGCTAACATACTCTAGGCCTAATTCATAGCTACACATAGAACTTAAAACATGAGAGAAAACAAGAATGTTCTATGCTAATTATCCATATCATTTCCAGAAAATAACAGCTTTACTCATTTTCAGTTAGATTTTTATCAAGGACAAAATTATCTGTGCTTGTATCAGGTATCCGTGATGAAACCATGTGGCTGTCTGTGTTTGCTCACAGGAAACCATTAACTTCCTCTTGTTCAGAAACATTGAGAGAAAATAAATGGAAAAAAAGATGAAAAACAAGACATATCACTGAACATCTTGTCCAACCAGAGTGACAGAAATACAGAAATGGAGCTAGATGACTCATTGCAGTTTTGATGTCTATACCTCATCTCTGGAAATGTAAGCAGAACTCCATCACTGTTTTTCCCACAAACAGCATGGCTTGTGATCCAGTACTATTAGAACACACCCGATAAAGAAAATACTTTAAAACTTAGAAATGGAAACTTCTTCCAACTCATTTAGAATATAAAAATTATACCAATAATCTAATTTCACAATAATTTCACAAACTTGTTTTGAAAAAGCAGATCACAACTACGGTATAATATCTGAACAGGTAAGCTTATATAAAATACAAGAAAAACACCTATAAGACAAATTATAACACAAATACTAATTTGCATAAACAAGCCGAAAACACAGGACGTCGCACAGGAACTCGAATCTGAAACCAATTTGTGAACTAAAAACAGCTGAACGTTAATTACAGAGACAATCCTGGTACTAAAAGTTCAGCAATGAAAGTCAGACCTCTGAAAGATGTAGTTGAGATAGTAGCATCTCTACATACTCAGTCACTTGCCAACACTCAATAACAAGTACTGGTGAATAAAAGAGATTTTGATTCTGACAATAACACACTGCTACGTCACACTGCGGAGATATTCTTAGCCAGGGAGCTGGGAGCTACTAGGAGGCCCCAACAAACTTCCAAGGGGCTGCAGGATGACTTAAAGGGGTCATATGTTGCGATTTCAAATTTTCCTTTCTCTTTGAAGTGTTACAAGCTCTTGGTGCATAAAGAAGATCTGTAAAGTTGCAAAGACTAAAGTCTCAAATCCAAAGAGATATTCTTTATAAAAGTTAAGAGTCAGCCACGCCTACCTAAAACAGCTCGTTCTAACACGCCCCCACATGTCTACGTCACTGTGTGGGAAGATGTATTTAAAGAATTTGCCACTGACTATTCAATCGCGAGTTTTGAGCAGTGTTGAGTAGCACTTGTTGTTTGTCATTTCTCCGATCACAGTTGAGGTCAAAAATTTTTTTCCCTTCAATAAATATACTGAGTAGGGTTGGGTATTAGGCTTGCTGCGATAGACAGTGTTTTCGGTTATACCGTGTTAAGCCGCAACACCGGGTACGTCATTTGCCTACCGCGGCACCGCCCCACACCGTCGGTTAGATTTTTTTATAGTTACAAAAATAATTTAGCCTAGTTCAGTTAGTGGACAGATACTTTTAAAAACGAAACGCTCAATGCAGCGTGCCGAACCGTGCGCGAACGACAGTGCACCACGGAGCAGGAATCAGATTTTATTTATCACGTGAGGAGAGTGAATCGAGCAGACTGACAAGAGTGAGGTGAGAAAGACAAGACGATGGCAGAAGATTGTTTAGAAAGGAAATGCAAATGCGCAGGTTTGGCAATATTTTAGATTTTGAAAAGCCTATTGACTGGAAGTTTTTTTTTAAACATTCGTTTCTTATTTATTTGGTTCCAGTGTTTGCTGATTACTTTATTTAAACTGTGTATTTTATTTATTTTATTTTACATCAAGGTGTATATGCCGTGCCTCGAAGCTTTCTTATTCGTTTTGCTAATAAACGATCTATGTTTCTTATTTATTTGGTTCCACAGTGTTTGCTGATTTTCAGTTTATATACCTATTTAAACTTTGTGTAGCCCAAGTAAATAGTTATTTTATTAGGCATAGGCCTATATGGTGTATTTTTATTCGTTTTGTTAATAAAAGTTCTGAGTTTGACGTGGTTGTTGCTTGAATTGAATCAACGCTGTATTGCCCCTAATTTGAAGTGAAAGTAAAATGTGCACGCCACTTTTTCAAACTATTTGAAAGCCAAGAAATCTGAGGAAAAGAGGGAAACTCAAACGAGCTGTTTCATTCATGACAGACAGCTGCTTTCTTTAGGTCAACGGCAGTGCGAACACAGATTTAAATGTTCAAATCACACTGGTGTGATTGTATGCTGCACGGACGAACCAAGTGATCACGACATTGATCACACACGTCAAAGGCTGAGGAATGAAACAGACAAATCATTGTATTTTAGGAACAGAATCATGTTGGTGTTTGAATCATGTTTGCGATTCATTAAACACGATCTATTAAATGAAAGTGCTTTGTCATGTTGGTGGTGACACCTCTCTTGCAACATGTTTAGCTATCACAGATATTATACTTAGCTTTTTTGGCTTCTGATCGCAAATGTAGCCAAACTTTGGAGCGCTTAGATTAGCGAGCAAGGTCCTGGCAGATCCCTAGGTCCGGTCATCACAGATGAAGAAAATAAAAAGCTCATAGGAATCGATAGGCAGAATCTAAATTTTAATTTGACAACAAGTATCCGATTCCTGACATTAAGTATCCGATTCTGGAATCAGAATCGATTTTCGATTCCCAACCCTAATACTGAGGGAAAAATCTTGCCTCAGTGTTGGACAACGGGGGTTTTGACTCAAAAGGTAAAGAACAACTGTTCTAAACCTTGACCATAAGCGAGATGTTCATCTGACCTTTGGAAGGAGTAAGCTGTATGCCATTCATGGCAATGCTAGTTCTTCTCTGTCGTGTGAAGGGGTTGTAGAATAACCCAATGGTTAAAAGTCTGGACTGATAACTAAAATGCTATACGGCAGTCACCCCAGGTAGTTCAGAACAAAAGTATTGTAGAAGTACCGGAGCCTGTTGTTGCTGTGCATTTCTCCTGAGGTGTTCCAGCTGAGACAGGAGCAGTTGCTGGTCCAGCATATCCATCCTCTGCTGTCTCTGGATGTCTAAAGTAGCGCCCATCCCCAGCGGAGCCTCTGCAGTGGGCTCAGAATCGGAGAAGACCGGCTCTAGGAGCACCGAACCACATCTGGCTGTCCATCCTGGAACCCGTATGAACTTCTGGACTGCCAACTTATTACTATAATACAACATGCCTGCAATCTGGAACAAAGTGATTGTAACACAGAGGTTACCATAAAAACATGACAGTAACACTGTCTGTTTTTAGAAATAGCATGTAAGCCTTGCAAGACACCTTAGCACACCATGCATGTTTTGTGACAGGATTAAAACAAAACACAACAGTATTCATTTTAAAATAAAAATGTCTTCTGACCCAATTTCCTGTTTTAAAAAGACTGTACATTACCCAAGAGTGTTCACTTGAATTGCTATGAATGGGAGGAACTACAACATCCAATATGGCACTCTAGAAACAGTTTTTGTTATTTCATTGTGAGTTTGGCCAGCAGCTTTCGAGAGTTGGTATTTCCCCATTTAAATAGATAGGAGTTGGTCATGCATGCAGTAAATAGGCACCTGCATGAACCAACTTGCATTGAAATAGACTTCAATAGATATTCATGAGACAAATTCTTGGGGCCAGAAGACAGCGATTTCATCTTTATTTTTCAAACAACACATTTAATTATGTTTAACATAATCATAAAGTGTGGCCCACCAATCTGAGAAGTTGTGGTTACCATGGAGTTTCACAATTTGAGTTGAATTACTGAAATAAATGAACTTTTCCATGACATTCTAATTTATTGACATGCACCTGTATATATATGTATATATAAAATATATACATATGTGTGTGTGTGTTTTGTAAAATGGCACAGCTTTTTAAATATCTGAAAGTACACTCTTAACATCAGTCAAGCATTATAATATGATAATCAAGTATTAATTAATGACAGAACTTTAGTAATTAGAATTAAAACTTGGTAACCATGTATGAATACATAGTAATTGTATCTGAATTTAGGACTGGTGGTGGTGCTTTTTTGGTCATTCAGCTTTTCTGTAAAAAAATTGGGGGGAAAACTATCAATAATAATAATAATAATAATAATAATACGAATTCTACTAATAAGAACAATATAAAACGCACTAAGGATTAACAAGCTGCTAGATTCATGAATATTACTCAGGTTGTGTGCATTCTCTCGAACTGATTCGCTGAAATCAAATGAGGGACGATAATAGGTGAGCGCCAGCAAATGAGATTGTCGTTTGCGCATTAGTTCCACCTACTACCATAGAACCTGGCAGTTCTTAAAGGTCCCCTGAAATGCTTAGAAACACGCAGCATTACTCTATGTGTTGACGTCATTTTAGCTGAAACAGGAAAGACAGGGCGGGACATATCAAGCAGCCCCGCCCCTTTTTAAAATAGCCAATAGCGTTCGTTTATGTCACAGCTTGGGCTAGAGCCATTCTGAGCCGTTGAGTTCCGTAAAGCCGCATTTGACAGGGTATGCCAGCCACAATCTCATCCATATTGCTATAAAATATAGCATTCTGTGTAGATTACAAATAGCTCCGATACATTTTGTGGTCTGCGCCGACTCACGCATGTGATCCGGTTCGTGCTATCGTGTCTCTGGTTAGCGTGGTGTAGCGTGACACAGTACAGAAAATACTAATTCTGTGGACAAGTGACTGATTTCAGCCGCGGCTTCAGCGTCTATTTTATAGTGTAGGGGGCGGGCGCTTCGGATTCTAGAGAGCATTTGATTGGACAGAAAGTTTGATGAGAAGCTGAAGTACGATGTGACGTCAAAAAAAAAATCGTTGAGCCATTTTGGCGGAAGTGACGAACTGCAAGCTTTGAATGCTTATGTCTCCTAAATGCGAATTTTGTCACTGTTTTGGAGCACACTGCCTTATAGATAACCTTAAGACTAACATATTGATACTAACACCCAAAAAACTTTAAATTTGATTTTCATGGGGACTTTAAAAGCTGAAGAATTCCAAAGGAACTCCGTAATTTTGACAGGAAAATATAACAAAGAATATCGATTACATGTAGCGCGTCAATTCTGCATGGTATGTAAGACTCTCTCGCTCTGTCTCTCTCTTTGCGTATGAAAAAAAAAAGCAAAGCGGCGGTGAGTCGTGCGCCTTCACACTAGAGTTTATGGTACGTCAAACACAGGTTCGCTGCGCATCCATTGAGATCAACTGAAAAATAACACAGATCGCCTGACGGAGAGAAGTGCTCAGTCAGTGTTCAGCAAGTGAAAATATATCTGTGCTAAACTTATACTTAGCCTCCAACTCTCACACTGGCGAGTAAAATCTGAGAATTTATTAGCCATTGGCTAATATTAGACATCATTTAGTCGCCCAGAGTGAAGATGTAGTCGCATATGCGAGTGATTTACTCGCAATGTAGAGAGAGGGTTGTTTGTGTTCCCCAGGAGAAAGTAAGTTACACAGGTTTGGAACAACATGGAGTAAATGATGACAGTATTTTCATTTTTATTTATCTTTTCCTACTAGAAACCACCATCACTGAATGCGCTAATGGTAAATCTTTAACCTAGTGATAGTAATAGTAGCTTTAACCTAGTGAACGTCCAAACATCCACACACACACAAAAAAAAACTCTTCATTTACAGTGGGGAAAAAAAGTATTTAGTCAGCCACCAATTGTGCAAGTTCTCCCACTTAAAAAGATGAGAGAGGCCTATAATTTTCATCATAGGTATACCTCAACTATGAGAGACAAAATGAGAAAAAGAAATCCAGAAAATCACATTGTAGGATTTTTAAAGAATTTATTTGCAAATTATGGTGGAAAATAAGTATTTGGTCAATAACAAAATTTCATCTCAATACTTTGTTATATACCCTTTGTTGGCAATGACAGAGGTCAAACGTTTTCCGAGGAATTTACCAATTAATTCTTTAAAAATCCAACAATGTGATTTTCTGGATTTTTTTTTCTCGTTTTGTCTCTCATAGTTGAGGTATACCTATGATGAAAATTACAGGCCTCTCTCATCTTTTTAAGTGGGAGAACTTGCACAATTGGTGGCTGACTAAATACTTTTTTGCCCCACTGTACATAGGTTCAGCAATTTCATTTACATAGGTTCAGCAACTTCTCAGGTCAGTGAATCTTGTGGGTTGTATTGAATTTCATCATATACACGTAATCATACTTACTAAAGACCATTACAGATGCAAAAAAGGAAACATAGAAACATGATGCTATTTTAATTGAGCCACTTTATACTTACTAGTCCACTGCAAGCAACCACCCACATGTAGGCACTTGAGGTCAGGAGCTGATGACAAGATAACAGAACAACAGAAAAACAAAAGAAATTCAGAACTATGTGAAGAAAGCACTTTCACATCCACAAAGTATCTTTGAAGCATTACAAACCAGTAACGCAAACTCACTAAATCATCCATAAACAAGTGTTCGATAAAAAGAAACATCTTATTTGATGCAAGAGTGGAACAAAACATATGAACATGAATTTAATGAAACCCAATTATTTATCTATTATTACAAGATTAAATTACACTGGTTAGTATAAATGGATATGTTTGTGAATGCATGTCTGAAAAAGACTGTAATGGTAAAAGGTAAAAAGTAATTTACCCTTGTCTGTTTTTCTAACGAGTAAGTATGCAACTTCATCTGTTATCGCTGCTATCTCAAATCAGCTCAAAACCCGACCAGAGCACGAGACCACATCGAATAGGTTCTCAGGTGCTAGAGTTTCTCATGACTTGTCTCTGTTATCCTACAAACATTTTATCTGTGGTTTCTACACTTGCAACAAATATCTGGTGTTTTTGAAAAACCCTGCACCTTTTTAGTCGTTTAAACGTCATGTTTTGTCTTCACTTGCTCGTCAAAAGATGTGCCAGTAAATGTCACTTACTATCCTAAGATCTCAAGCAGCAATGACTTTTACTTTTTGTGTGTAGCTTCTGAGATAAACTAGCAAAGTGGGAAATCTTAAAGTACAGAAAACTAAAGTGAAGATGATTTGTGAAGGCAGTCTGAGCTCACCTGTGCGCCCACAATGTACGTCAGAGACTTGTTTGTGATTGAGATGTGGCCGAGAAGCTGAGTGACCTGAACACGTGGAATGGAGCTGTAGAAAGGCACAAAGAGAGCAAAGACTGGGCCCAATCTGAGAAAGAGAGAGAAAATGAAGAGTTAGAGAGAAGGAAAAGTCAAGTGAATCCTCAACCTTGCTGTCAGATGACAATACAGAATGAAAATGTGCAAATTAATGACATGTAATAGTGCCTGCCCATGATGAAGAAAAGGGGAAATCTCTTTAAAACATTCCTTTACGTAGAAAGTAACATTTTCTTTCCTATCATTAATCATTATTTTCCAATGTAATGTAGACTAAAACATTGTTATGTACAACAATACATTGGCGAACAGTCACTTGTTTTTCTAGTTACTTTGACAACACTTCATATAGTATTATATACATAACAGAGGAAATAAAAGGGGTAATAAGTAGTATGGTAGGATGTTTCATTGACAATTTATCGGTTTAAGAATGTATCTATTGACAAAGGTGATAGATAGCAAGGTCTCTGTTAAGCAGTTTTTCAGATAAACATCAAATTCTCATTACAACATACAATGACGCAACAATCATTACAAAATTCAGAATATGGTTTATCAACCATTTAAGAAGAATGACAAGTGGGGTAACTTACGCAAACTAGTACTTCAATTAAGACCGGAAAAACGTAAGTTTGACTTTTTCCATTAGCTATTTTTCACAATTTTAACTCCCTTTCTACGGTTTCCTTCATTTAAAAAAAAATGGGACTTGTGCAATAACTACCTTACTAAGTCTTAAAAACTAGGAAACTAAGAAACTAAACATGTTTCTAAATGCGGATTCAATCCAGATCAACGGTAACTATAGTGTCTGACGTAAAAATATCTAGATGTTTCAATGAAAGTCACAAGATAATTTCACTTCTCCATATAGAGTTAAAGAGATAGTTCAACCAAAACTGAATAATCTGTCACCATTTCCTCACTTTCATGTTGTTTCAAACCTGTATTCATTTCTTTCTTCTGTTGAACAAAAGAACCGAACAGTTGCTGGTAGCCACTGATTTCCATATTTTTTCTATACTGTGGAAGTCAATGGTTAACATCAGTCTTCAAAATATCTTCTCTTGAGTTCAACAGAAGAAAAAAATTATTACAGGCTACAACAACCTGTTGTAAATGTTGACGGAATATACATTTTTGGGTGAACTATCTCTTTAAGCAGACTCACCACGCTGCTAGAAAGAGAGAGAGAGAGGTAAGAGAGGAACAGAGTAACAGACAGTGAAAAAGAGGCAGGAAGAAATGCTGAACTCTCGGTTTTGCTGCATTTTACGCTGCTTTAAAAGTGAGATATAGAGATGTATATATACATATAGCAGATTTTTTGATGTAAAGTCGGGAACACCAAAGCTCCAAAACATCAAAAAATCTTCTATTTGTTTCTATTCGAGCACCCAGTTGAGATTGATGTGCGTACTTTTGCTTGCTCTTCACTGTATACATATAGCACCAATGTCTGAGTGAAAATCTGCTCTCTTATCTGGTAAGCAAATAATTTCATTAAATTTTTGATAAAAAGGGCAGAAGAAATGAAAATGAGTGTGCTTTGGAAAATCGTGTAATTAAAAGTTTTTTTTTTTTAAGTTTTTTTTTAATCAAATTTTATGGCGACCATGTGTGAAGTTAATTTATTTTATTCTTCACTGCCCAATGGCCTACAACTAAATATTAAAATTTCTGTAAAAGCATTTTTAAAAGCGTATGAGTGACTAGATTTGTATATATTTGATTATATGGTGACACTTTACCTTGGTTAATACATTAACTAAAATTAAATAACAATACTATCCATTTATTACAGTATTTATTAAACTTTGTTAACATTAGTTATTAATAAAAATACAACTGTTCATTGTTAGTTTGTGTTAGCTCAGGTCTATTAAATAATGCTAACAGATACAAAAAAAGTACATTCTATTTGAATAATGTTAGTAAAATACTGAAATTAAAATTTACTAAGATTAATTAATGATTTACTATTTTTCACTGTTAGCTCATATGAACTTAACTTATGTTAATAATCGGAACTTTATTGTAAAGTGGTACTGATTATATTTAATTTCAAATATGTGTGAATTTGTCCTTTTTTCCAATGTCAAAAAAGTCACAAACTGTATTTTAAATGCTCATTTAAGATAGTTATAATAACATAATAATGCAGGGTTGTACACAAAGCAACAGACACGTGGAAGAGAAACAAGCCTCGCATGAAAAAAGGGAAACAGCTTAAAAACTACAGAAGTCTACATACATACTACAATCAACAATATTGAGAACAGAATTACTATTCATAGTAAAACTGTACACTACCATTCAAAGGCTTGAGGTCAGTAAGAAATTGTATATTAATTATTACTTCCATCAAGGAGAAATCAAATGAATAAAAAGTGACAGTAAAGACACTGTCACTTTATAATAAAGTTACAATGTTTACAAAAGATTTCAATTTCAAAGAATCCTAGAAAAAAAATAAGGTTTGCACGAAAGAATATTAGGCAAATATAAATTAATATGAACTGTTTTCAACACAGATAATAAAAATAAATGTTACTTGTGCATCAAATCAGCATATTATATTATGATTTATGAAGAATCATGTAAGACTGAAGACAGGAGTGATGGCAGCTTTGCCATAAATTACATTTTACAATATATTAAAACAGATTACATTTATTGTAAATTGTAATGATATTTCACAATATTGCAGTTTTTACTGTATTTTTGATCAAATAAATGCATTAAAACAATCCTTTGCCTCTCTCTCTGCAGTGATTTCTCCTGTATATAACTAAGATGAGCCCAGATTTAGAGCAAAACATCTCTTGCACCAACTTGTATGACCATCGTCCAGTGGCCCGAGTTCTCATACCTCTGGCCTATTCCATCATATGTCCAGTGGGACTTTTAAGCAACGCCCTGGCTCTTCATGTGATCTTCTTAAACATCACCAAACTTAATTCCATCACGCTTTATTCCGCCAACCTGGCAGTGTCTGATATTCTGTTCTGCCTGTCGCTTCCCCTCCGAGCTGTTTACTATGGCCTTGGCTTCCACTGGCCCCTGGGGGAAGGACTATGTAAAGCCATAGCACTGCTCTTCTATTTGAACTGCTATGCTGGAGTAAACTTCATGACTTGTCTGGCAATCGATCGTTTTGTGGCACTGGTGTTTCCTCTGAAGCTGGCGAAATTGAGAAAAGTGAAAAATGCCCGATTAGTGTGTCTGGCCATATGGCTGCTGGTGTTGGCCCAGACGCTGCCTCTCCTGACCATTAACTTGACCAAAACGGAGCCTGACAACAGCATCACCTGTATGGAATACCCTAATTTTGAGGGCCTTTTCAAAGGGCTGCCCTACTTGCTGATTTTTGGGGTAGTTTCAGGCTTTGGAGTCCCACTGGTGACAATCATCGCCTGCTACTCTATATTGACCCGTAAACTACATCTAGCAGCAAAGTCGAACCAGCTGACAGAACGTTCTGGAAGGACCAAAAAAGCAAGAGGAGTGATCGCAGGAGTGGTATTTGTGTTTGTGGTGTGTTTCAGCCCATACCATCTAGACCTTCTGCAATACATGATCCGAAAACTTATCTATGATCCGGACTGCAAGGAGCTACAGTCCTTTCAGATATCGCTGCATATTACAGTGTGCCTTATGAACTTAAATTCGTGCCTGGATCCCTTTGTTTACTTTTTTGCATGTAAAGGCTACAAGCAGAAGCTGATGAGAATGATGAAGTGGCAGGTTGGCACCCACTTCTCTAGTGTTGGAAGAACCTCCCCTGAAAGTTCAGGCACAGGCGATGTGCTCGGCACACGCCGCAACACAGGAATAACAATGAACAATATTAGAGAAGGTCAGTAAAACAATTGCCAACTAAAGCCAACATAAGATGATGAAAAGTGATAAACACACAGTATGTGGGGCCGAACTTGAGACTTAAAAGCCAAGAACAAGGCAAAAAAAGTCACAGACAACTCGTCTCTTCAGATTTTAAACAGCACACACTTCATGAAACAGCTGGACGCTTGACAAGCACTGGCATCAAAGTTAAGAAAGAAAAAATACTTGCTGCAAAAAGACAATAAATGTTGAGCATTTTTCATTCAAAACATAACTGTTAAAGGGTCAGTTCACCAAAAATGTATATTCTGTCAATATTTACTCACTTGTTCTAAAACTGTATGACTTCCTTTCTTTTATGAAACAGAAGATTTTCTTTTTTAATTTACAATGGAAGTCAATAGTCACCAAAATGGTTTGATTACCAACATTCTTCAAAATATTTTCTTTTGTGTTTCACAGAAGATGGAAAGTCACAGGTCTGAAATGACATGAGGTTGAGTACAGTTTTATTTTTGGGTGAACTATTCATTTAAGAACAGTTAATGGTTCACACATAAATAAATTAATCATTCCTACGTTTGAAAAATTGCAAAAATAAAGCTACTGAACTATCAAAAAGATGCTTTGATTGTGAAAAAGTTTCAAAGATGATGACACTTCATCAAACGTTTTTAACACATTTGTTTTTGATTGACTGAGTTCTTAGATAGATGGCAAGATTATCAAGAAGGCAAATCGATTTTTCACATCAAAAAAGGAAACCACTCTATGCCAGTCTCTTGTTAAGAAGAGTCTAAAAGCTAGTAGCTGAAAGGAAATAACTTGAAATAAGAGGGTACTTTACTTTCACAAGACCTTGCCATTTCAACACGTATTGCTTTTATAAATTGGTGAGATGTTGTTTTGTCAGTAAAGAATACTTTCATAACAATACAATGACACAAGAAATTTAATCTAAAAGACAATGTCAAAAAGGGAAGTTGACATTGTTTGTTCCACTGGAAAGAGCAGCACTTTCACATGCATAAAGTTTTCCAGGATTTAATACATTTTGTGCTTACAGCATACAGTAAATGCACGTGGCAATACTGTTGAAAACAACTAACGGTTTGTACTAAAGACCAACTGTTAAAATGGTGTAGAAACTCGTGCCACTCACAGTCCAGCTGGAAGAACATCCACTTTAAATTCAAACATGAAGCGAAGAGCCTCTATCAGCAGCAAGTCCACAAAAGCAGAGAGAATCCATGCTCCAAAGAGGAAGGACTAAACGTCATAAAGAAAAATATGACAATGTTTTAGATTTATACAACTTTTTTTCAAGAACATCATGGGATTTTAACACAAAAAAAGGGGGGGGGGTGGTGAGTTAGGAGGGTTAAAGTCATTAGCATGTGAATGTAGAGTAGGCAAACGTGTTATAGGAAATGCTTGGTAGCATATGAAAGGGTTTTTGATTTAATAAAAAAAATGACTTGTTTTGTTTATAGCATTTTAACAAAATGCACATCATAAATAGTAGGCTGAAGAGCAAATCTCACGCCCTTAAACATCTTTAAAAATTAGTCAATTGATTGCCAGATAAGATCAAGGCGTTCCAAGTTTCCGTGTGTCCTTCAGGCACCTTATCTTAAACTGGTTGGTGTGTACAGCCCCATATTGGTATTTTTGAATATCAAATTTATCCAGAAATGATTTAACATTTTTTATTTATTTATTTATAATGCCATACAATTTTATGTAGAGAATGTTATGTAGAAAATGGGTGCAAATCTTAAATTTGACCCTGGACCACAAAACCAGTCTTAAGTCGCCGGGGTATATTTGTAGCAATAGCCAAAAAAACATTGTATGGGTCAAAATTATTGATTTTTCTTTTATGCCAAAAATCATTAGGATATTAAGTAAAGATCCTGTTCCATGAAGATATTTTGTAAATTTCCTACTGTAAATATATCAAAGCTTAATTTTTGATTAGTAATATGCATTGCTAAGGACTTCATTTGGACAACTTTAAAGTAATAGTTGTATCTTGGCCAAATATTGTCATATCCTAACAAACCATACATCAATGGCCCTTATGACTGGTTTTGTGGTCCAGGGTCACAAATGTCTATGGCATACACTCAGGCCATGGGTGAATGGGTGCCGTCAGAATGAGAGACCAAAGAGCATAGCAAAATGTTGCAATAATCAACAAGCAATCCACCTGACTTCAGTACATCAATTAACATATTGTGAAGTAAAAAGCTGTGCTTTTAAAAAAACAAATCCATCATTAAAGGTGCAGTAAGCGATTTCTGAGAAACACTGTTGAAAGTGGATCACACCGAGCACCAAAATACACTTCTAGCCAATCACCAGTAAATGCTGTGTGCACTAATGATGGGGGAGTTGCCTGCGTTGCATAGCATGTTTGTGAATTTGGTGGCGGTACTATCAAGCTCGGTTGGAGCTTGTTTATTTTGGTGATTTCAAATATCAACAGCGTTTCTCAGAAATCTCTTACTGCATCTTTAAGACGTTTTAACTAACGTTTTAAGTTAGTTAACTAAGAACTAAAACTAAGAAGTCCATCTCCTGTTGACATCAAAATCTATCCACATATTTGTTTAGAACTGTTTTTGGCTTGTAAAAAGTTTAAAGTCTGAGTTTAAAAAAAAGTCTTAAATATGGATGTTTCTTACAAACGCATATTTTGACTTCACAAGATGTTAATTGATGAACTGGAGTTTGGACTGGAGTTATACAATTTCTTGTATATTATTGTGATGTTTTTATCAGCTGTTGGGACTCTCATTCTGACAGCACCCATTCACTGCAAAGGTGAGCGAGTAATGTAAAGTTTCTCCAAATCTGTTCCCATGAGAAAACAAACTCACTTATATCTCGGAAACTATGGTTACTATGGTAATTTTCATAAGGTTTTCTAGGGCAACTGTCATTTAAAAATGTTCACTGTTAAAACGGAAAGAAAAAATAGTATTCCACAGCAGGGTTGCTGCAGGATTTTTAAGCTCAAATTTAAGACTTTTTAAGACCTGCACAAATAAAATTAATACCATATGAGCGGGGTAGGGCAATGTCTATGGCAGTGTTTCCCAACCGTTTTTTAGTCGCGGCACCCTTTGGAAATTTTAACAAACTTGTGGCACCCTACAAAATTAATTTTGTCACAATATTTGAATTTCTAACATCGATATGATCATTTGAAAAGTAGATATTCGGTACAACAGGGAAGAACTGCAGAATATAATGTCATACAGATATTTTTTATATTATT